TCCTTCCTTCCTTCCTTCCTTCCTTCCTTCCTTCCTTCCTTCCTTCCATCCATCCATCCACCCATCCATCCTTCCATCCATCCATCCATCCATCCATTGTGCACTGGTTAGAAAGCAGCATTGCAGGCTGACTCTGCCCACTGCCAGCCATTTGATCCTGACCAGCTCAAGATTGACTCAGTCTTCCATTCTTTGTAGGTGGGTAAAATGAGGACCCAGATTGTTGGGGGCAATTATGCTGACTCTGTAAACCGCTTAGAGTGGGCTGTAAAGCACTGTGAAGCGGTGTATAAGTCTAAGGGCTGTTGCTATTCTCTTTGCTAAGCCCCAGGTGCAGTGCCTGAATTTCTGTGGCACTGTTCCCAGGCAATGGAGCCACTGTTCGTATTAGTGACATGCTGTTGGGAAGGAAGGGGTAACCCAGTGCGTCTCAAACTGACCCCTTTAAAAGTCTGTGAAGATTCTCAGTCGTCCAGGTTGTCCCAAAGGTGATTTTTCAAAAGGCAGCTGGCCTTTCTTGGTTTTTTTCCATTGAAAATGTTTTCACTTCTCATCCAAGAAGCTTTTTCAGTTCTGACTGTATGGTGGAGGACGAAAGGACTCTCAGAGGGAGTGCTAACAACCAGATGACTGCAAAGAATATAAATCCATCCATTCTCCCCTGTTCAGTCAGAACTGAAGAAGTGTCTGGGATGAGAAGTGAAATGCCTTCAAGGAAAAACAAAGTAAGTCCAGTTGCCTTTTGAATGAGCACCTTTGGGGATTGACCGCTTAAAAACATGTGGCCTTCAATTCCCAGAATTCCCTAACCTGGATGCTTTTCCTTATTCTATTTATATTAGCTTGGGTATCTCTCTGGCTTCCCATTTCTATTGAATTCTGAGATAAGACATCATAATAGTGGTCGGGAGTATTAGATATATTTGCTACCTGGATTTATGTATTAAAAAGGCAGGATAAAAATATAATAATGATCATGAGCAAAGAAGCACAGGTAGCCAGGCAGATGGTGACTGATAATGAGGAATGGGAGGAGGGACGAGGAAGAGGAGGAGGAGGAGGAGGAAGAGGGAATGGAAGAGGAGGAGAAGGACTAAGAAGATAAGGAGAAGAAAGGAGGATGAAGAGAAGGAAGACAAGAGGAACTAAGAAGAGAAGGAAAAGGACTAAGAAGGAGAAAGAGAAAGATTAAGAAAAGGAGAAAGAGGACGAGGAGATGGAGATGGAGGAGGAAAAGGACTAAGAAGAGGAGGAGGAGGAAGAGGAAGAGAAGATGGAGGAGAAGGACTAAGAAGAGGAGGAAAAAGAGAAGAAGAGGAGAAAAAATGAAGAAGAGGAGAAGAAGGACTAAGATGAGGAGAAAGAGGAGGATGAAGAGAAGGAAGATGAGAACGACTAAGAAGAGGAGGAGGAGGAAGAGGAGAAGGAAGAAGAGAAGGAGAAGGACTAAGAGGAGCAGGAATTGTATAATGGCCTGATAATGGGAGTAAAAAATGAGTAGGGTGCCAAGCATTTTCAGAAACCAGATTGAGAAATTAAAAAGAAAACCCAGATGATTGCGCTACTGTGTTGTTGCTAAGAAAACCAAAAATAAAGTCTCCAGGATTCAAGCTGGACTCAAGGGAGACTTTACCATTTTATATGTTCATTTTAAAACAATCACGCAGAGGCCATTTACATACCTTGGGGCTTTCTTTGTTTTGTTTTTGACAGAAGCTGCTAAATGAAAAGTGTAAATAAATCCACCCCGTCCCCCAAAAAAGCACAAGACGTTGGCTGATTCTATAAACAGACGGGTCTTCGGCCTCTTAGAGGTGATAGAGTAGATTTTATGGTAGCATAAACACCAGTTTATTTAGACCACGGTTCAAGATAGTTCGCATCCCCCCCCCCTTCCAATCTTTCATTTGGAGAAGATTTAACCGCCGGGGGGGGGCACTCATTCTGATTTTGTGCTAATAAGAAATATAGAAATATGGAGTTGTTAGAGGCCCTGGATCTTCCAAACTAAGGTGAAAGGGCTTCACACTTCCTGTTTGCCCCATCCAACCCTTTGTCTCTTTGCAAAACCTAGAACACAGCTTTTTCAAAAGAAATCATTGAATTTGGCAGAATTGGGAACCAATTTTTGGGGGAGGGGGGAGATAACTCGAGAGGACGTCTTCCTTTCAGAGGGAAGTCCTTTGCATCTCCTCCGAGAGATTGTCCAGATTCTCTAGATCCTCGTGCCGTATTTCTTTTTCCACTTGCTCGTTATCCGAAGGCTGCAGGCCGCTTTCCTTCCCAAAGAGGGATCGGATCTGGCTGTGCTGCTGCGAACATTCCCCCGGTTTGATCAGCACGGAGTCCGAAACGGCTTTGGGTTCCTGCATCCAGTTGTGCATCAAAACCTCGTCGATGCAGAGCCGTCGAGTCACGTCGGGCTGAAGCATGTGGTAGATGAGGTCCTTGCATTCCACCGAGAGGATTTTGGACCGGGGGAAATGGACTCTGTGTTCCTTCTGAAGCTTGAGCATCTTTTTAATGTTGGACTCGTCATAAGGCATGGAGCCACAGACCATGATGAACAGCACAACGCCCATGCTCCAGATGTCGTAAACCTTGGGCTGGTAAGGGATGCCCTGGAGCACTTCGGGCGCGGCGTAGGCCGCGGAGCCACAGAAGGTTTTGCTAAGGATGACCCGCCCGTCATCGTCCCGAGACAGGCGTTTGGAGAAGCCGAAGTCTGTCAGTTTGATGTTGTACTCTTTATCCAGAAGCAAGTTCTCGCATTTCAGGTCCCGGTGGACGATGTCCAGCTCGTGGCAATATTTAATGGCGCTGGCTAACTGGTTGAACATCTTGCGGGCGATCTCTTCGGGAATGGCTCCCTTCTTCTTGATAAACTCCAACAGGTCTCCTTGGACGCCCAGCTCAGTGACGATGTACACTTTCCCTTCGGAGGTCTCGAAGATTTCATAGGTCTTGACGATGGCGTGGTGCTTCACCCTGGCCAACATCTCAATCTCTCGGGGGAGGAACCTCTCCAGGAAGTCTCGGGGAGCTTTCTTCTTGTCGATGATCTTGACCGCCACGTTACACTTCAGACGTTCGGAATAGGCAGACTTCACTTTTGCGTACGAACCCTCTCCGAGGTTGATCCCCATAATGTAGCCTCTCTTTTTAAGGACCTCGGCATCATCCATCGTCTCTTGAGGCAACCCCGAGGAGCTTCAAGTTGATAGGGCATCACCTACCCCAGCTGCCCACTTTCCGTCCAGATTTCAGAATGGTCTTTCTCTCCTTAAGTTGAAGGCAGCAGAATTCTTAACATCCTTCCATGATGTCACAAAGCCAAGCCATGTTTGGTCCTTGACTGAAGATACACCACTTAACGTGGAAGCAAACAAGAGTCATGGTTGACATGTTGGAGAAGGGATGAACTTCCTAAGTGTATGTATCTATAGATATGGTCTCCTTTTGCTGTTCTCTGTCTTCTGCATCCCCGAACTTTTGTTTTAGAACTCTAGAGGTGGGGAGGACCAAACTACCCACGATCCACTATAATCTTACTTTTCTTTTGGTGTGGGTGTGTGTGGGTGTGTGTGTGTGTGTTTTAAAAAAATATTTTAGTGCCCATTGATATCAAGCGAGGGCATGAAATTGGTTTGACCTGGAAAAGACTGAAGCATCGGTTCCTTTTGTCGATGGCAGGGATACCTCCTGCTCACTTGAGTTTTAGACACTGGAACCCAAATTGGGTTGAGGGCTGTACTTGGTTTGAACAGCATCACATTCACAGAACTGGAGGGACTGATGTAAGGATAACAAATAGTAACACAAAACAAGGGCCTAGCCCAAAAAGAATTGAAATATTTTGACACTGCATGTCTACAGAAATCCTCAGGCATCCAGGTCACGGTTGTCCCAAAGGTGCTTTTTCAAGAGGCAACTTTGTTTTTTTTCCCTTGAAGGCCTTTCACTTCTCATCCAAGAAGCTTCTTCAGTTCTGAGTGAATGGTGCATAATGGAAGGATTGATATTCCTTGCAGTCAAGTGTTCCTTAGCGCTCTTGGGTGAATCTCTCTGCTAACAACCAGAAGCCTGCAAGGAATAAAAATCCTTCTATTCTGCACCATTCAGCAAAACCTGAAGAAGCTTCTTGGATGAGAAGTGAAATGTCTTCAAGGAAAAACAAAGTCCAGTTGCCTCTTGAAAAAAGCACCTTTGCGCCATTTTGATACTACCAATAGATTTTAAAGCTTTGTAAAAATAGGTAGATGAGATGTAACTGAGCTTGAAAGAGGTTGGTACTACACCCCAAATCTACACATTTTCACTTTTTGAATAAGTTTCAATGGCTGTTTATATATTTTATTTCTTTGGTGTTCCTCAGTAACCTAGTCTTTCAGAGCTGTAGGCTCATTTAATTGTGTTGTCTGTGTGTGGTTTTTTTTTACCATTTGGCATTAAGGTTCTTTTTCATGGAGGTTGTGCAAATGTTCATTGCATTTACATTTGCGTTCAGTTAGAAATTACACTGGGAATTTTGGCGAACCGAAGACCAGAGTTTGAATCCAAAAGAATCTGTAAAATCACCCAGAATTTGCTCTGGAGAGAACAGTCCATGGTTCTGACTTCGTATTGTCATCCAGCTTTTATAAACAGAGGTGGGATTCTACAGGTTTGCACCTATTCGCTAGAACCGGTTGTTAACATTCTAAGCAGTTCGGAGAACCGGTTGTTAGAAGAAATGACTGGCCTAATCCTGTAAGGAGGGCAGGAAGGAAACATTCTGGTGTTGCTTACAGAAACTGTCTCTCCGTTAACCCTTATTACATTCTTGGCAGGACTAGACTTCCTGTCTCTGGAACTTCTCTGGAGTTTTTCCCCCTCCTTTGCTGGTACTTTGCTTGTGTGGAGTGACCATTCAAAGTTACAATGGCACTGAAAAAAGGGACTTATGATCATTTTCCACACTTACGACTGTTGCAGCATCCCCACAGTCATGAGAGGCCAGGCGAGGAGATGCGTGCCTTGTTGTGAGTGATATTGACTGGGCCACGCCCAGCCAATAACATGACCACCAAGCCACACCCACCAACTAAGCCACGCCCACATAACTGGTTGTTAAAATATTTGAATCCCACCCCTGGTAGGAACTTAACGCTGGGCCTATATTTTATGAGGTCAGTAGGTCTTCATTTTTTCACGTCATGGCTGTGAATCAACACTTTTGTCACAAACACAGTTCAGCAGCTCCTTGACTTAGGTATTACAATTGGGACCAGAATTCCAAGGTGGTCTTGCTTAACGAAGTATCTTGCACCCAATGTTGACATTTTTGCCACCGTTGTTAAGCGAATCCCTCCAATTGAGTCACACTTTTGGGAAGGGAATCTGGTGTCCCCTATTGACCTCATGTCAGATCTGCTCCCACAGGTATCCTGCCATAAAAAAAAAGGATGAAAGGGGGAAGAGGGAGGGCAAAAGGTAAAAGGGCAATAAAGCTTTGTGTGTACATGATAGGAAATCTGGAGGGGGGAATAGCAGGTGATAAGGACCAGAACAGCAGGATCCTGTTTGTACCTGCATCCCATGAGAAATAGGCAAATTACTCCCCAAACATCTTGGCGAGCTCCGGTTGGGTGGAAAAGGACTGGTCATGCGAGGAGAGATAGGCTGGGGGCAAACCTTATTTTTCTATCTAGCAAGCAGAGGAGATTTCAGAGCTGGCTTGATTTTACTGCAACCAACATCTTTCGTAAAAAGAACTCTTTGCTTTAGCCAAATGGGAGTCGAGGGTCTTTCCTTCCGAAAGGATCGGATCAGGACAGGTCTGACACTGTCAAGCAGGGGGATCAGGTCACGAATGCCCATCGCACGACCTTAGTTCATAAATCCTTGCCTGTGGCCAAGTTCCCAAATTTCAATCCCGTTGGCGGTGGGGACGCTGCAACGTTCGTCGATGTGAAAACCGGTCATAAGACTTTGCAAGTGTTGTCACTTTCCAACGGTCATGAAACGAACAGCTGTCAAGGGAACTATTTCCTGCAGAAGGCAGGAACAAAAATCCGTACGGCAACAGTTCAGCCCTGGTAGTTTTCTTTCCTTAAGTTTCCTTTCAAGGAGAAATGCGCGCAGTTGGAACCAAAGTTGCATACCAATGAGGCACAGCCCATCTCCTTGATGGTACATCAAAGCTTTGATAAACAGACCTGTGAAGGGGAAGGGATTTTTTTTAAGAAAGCCAACCATTCCAGCTTGGAGTGTCTCAGACAGCTCCTGGGAGGAGAGCTTTGAAATGTCCACCGTCCTAGATAATGAGGAACATTTGCTGTGTCTCTGCAGGGAGAAGCTAAATCTTTCCTGTTAAAGGTGACATTTCTTCTCCATTAAGTTTTGCAAAATTATTCGGAAGGGACCTTGGATTAAAGGGAGAGCCGTCGTAAACCCAGCTGCAAAGACACGCAGGCCACCAGAGTGATTTGTCATGGATTTTTGGGTTCTCCAAAAAGCAGTAGCAACATGGTTCAGGAAAGAGCCGTAACTCATGCAATATGCACTCATTAGAAGATTCCAGTTCTAAATTTGTCCTTCGAATCCTGGCTTGGTTGGCCTAGAAGAGAATGACCTGGGTCTTTTTTCCACAGTATGAATTTTTGAAGGTAGTCAGCATTTCAATAACCAACTCCAAACCAATAAACTCCAAGACAAACATTTCCTCAAAGTTCCATTTTATGAGAGTTGTCCTATTGGCAGATCTGAGAAAACCCGTATCTGAGAGTTCCGGGTTTTCCCTTCCCAAAAGAGAAATCAAAGATCCATCCCCCTGCATCCACCAGTCCATCACATCACGGTCCAATCAAATCTTTGTCCCAACTGGAGACTCCATCCTTCCAGTCCCTCCCCTCCAGGTGCAGGGCAACATGTCCTTGACTCTCTGAGAAAATATGTTGTGTCTAATCTTCTATCTAACTATTAAATCCCCCCTCCCAAATTCCCAGGCAGCCTCAAGCTTCCAAGTAAAAAAATGGCTTCCAACGCTGACAGAAGGTTGCTCTGAAAATGGAAACGCTACTCAAGGGTTCCTTGCAGGATGAGTAAAGAAGGAGGAAACATCATTAGAACAAACACAATGAAAGCAATTTTGGGTTTTTCTGTATTTTCCCTTTCGTTTTGTTGTTCTCTCTCCTTCCAAGCTTCCTCCCTTATGGCAGGGATGGAGAGAGAACACCCAACTCATAAATTGCCATTTTGGGTCAGAGAAAGTATAGACCAGGGGTCTTCAAATTTGACAGCTTTAAGACCTGTGGAACTCCCAGAATTCCTCCTCCAGTCCTCTTAGCTCAGCAATTCTGGGAGTTGAAGTCAACAAGTCTTAAACTTAACAAGTTGGGAGACCTTTGGTGGACATTTGATTTTAGTTCTTCCATTGAGGGCAAGGATTAAGTCACTAACGTAAGTCTCTTGTAATCACTGAGGGGCTTTTAAGAAGAGTGTGGACAGCCATTTGTCTGAAATGGTATAAGGTCTCTTGCTTGACCAGGGGGTTGGACTAGAAGACCTACAGGGTCCCTTCCAACTCTGCTATTCCTTTGGTGTTTTTTTTCAGTGCCAATGCAACTTCCGACAGTCACTAAACGGATGGCTGTATGTTGAGGGCTTGTAACTGCTTATTTTAGAATTTGGCATCAGGTCCAAAATTCAAGGTTTGGCATTTTGGTTTTTCATTTTCTTCAAAGGCTAAACGACAAAGAAAGCTGGTCTTTGTCAGGAAACAGATCAAACACACCCTCCATCGTCTTGTCTCCTCAGAAGAGCATTGTAAGGTACGAAACTGATTCTTTTTAAGATGACAGATTAACAGAGTTGGAATGGACCTTGTCAGTCGTCTAGTCCAACCCCCTCCACCCAAGCAGACCCTACACCATTTTTGACAGATGTCGGTCCAATCTCTTCTTGAAAGCCTCCAGTGAGGAAACTCCCACAATTTCCAAAGAAGGCAACTTCTGTTCCACGGGTTGATTGCTCTCACTAGTAGATAATGTCTCCTTATTTCCAGGTTGAATCTCTCTTTGATTAGTTTCCATCCATTATTCCTTGTCTGGCCTTCAGGTGTTTTGGAAAATAGCTTGACCCCCTTCCTCCTCTCTGGGGCAGCCCCTCAAATATTGGAAGATGCTCTCCTGTCTCCCCTGGTCCTTCTCTTCACTAGACCAGCCATGCCCAGTTCCTGCAACTGTTCATCGTATGTTTTAGCCTCCTGTCCCCTAATCATCCTGGTTGCTCTTCTCTGCACTCTTTCTACAGTCTCAACATGTTTTTAATAGTGTGGTGACCAAAACCGGAAGCAGTATGCTAGGTGTGGCTTTATAGAGTGGTATTAGTACCTCCCTTGATTGAATCCCTCTGTCACTGCTTAAACTTAAAACTTAGGATTGCATTGGCTTTTTTGGCTGCCACCACACTCATATTCAACTCATATTTAACTGGTTAGCTCATATTTAACTGGTTGTCCACTAAGACTCCAAGATCCCTCTCACAATTAGTGAGAACGATCAACCGGTGAAACAGAAGTTGCCTTCGGAAGTTGTGGGTGCTTCATTATCACTGGAAGCTTTCAAGGAGAGACTGTACTGCCATCTGTCAGAAATGGTGTAGGATCTCCTGTTTGGATGGGGGGTTGGATTAGATGACCTACAGGGTCCCTTCCAACTCTGTTCATCTAACCCTTTAAGTTACTGCTATGAAACCTGGTTTCACCCAGTCTGTATGTATACTTTTGGTTTTTCTTGCCTAAGTGTAAGATGTTGCTTTTCCCTACACCGAATATTGTTTTGTTGGATAGGGCCCAGTGTTCAAGTCTGTCGTAACTTCAAACCAGTGGTTTGAACCAATTCTACTGGTTTGGCCCGGTTCTGCCGAGCCAGTAGCACCGATGAGCAGCAGACACCGAACCGTTTCTCTCCAATACTCTGCTGTTTGGCCCAACAGCCCACCTGGACTCCCATATTCACCTTTATTCCCTGTATAGCTGCTTTGCGCAGCACACACAAGCGCCACGCGGCAGCTGCTGAAGCAACCAGGAGAGTGCAGGCTTGCAGGAGGTGAGTTGGAATGCCTCTGCGCCTGTGCAAAGTGCACTTTTGGCGCGCGTGTGCACGCAAAGTATGTGCACGTGCGCAAAGTGTGCCCACCAAGCCACGCCCACCAAACCGGTGGTAAATTTTTTTGAAACCCACCCCTGCTTCCAACGGTCACTAAATGAAACCGTTGTGCATCCAGGACTCCCTGTGCACATGAAATAAAATAAAATAATAAGGAGAACACTGCCAAGGGCTGCTGAAGGAAAAGATTTTTTTTTTTTCGGGTTTACTGCATTCTGCAAAGCAATAAGTATTCCGGATAACATTTTTAGGTTTGCACTTTACCATCTTGGCTAATCTCGCAACTTGAAGGGCTTTAGGTGCTTGCCTTGCACCCAAGGGTGGTTGAGGACCTCTTCGATTCGTAGACGGTGGGAGACATCCGGCTGCAGCATGTGGAAAATCAAGTCTTTGCACTCCAGGCTGAGAAACTCGGGAAAAAGGATGCGATGTTCCTTCTGCAGGCGCAGCATCCGTTTGACGTTCGAATCGTCGTAAGGCATGAACCCGGAGACCATCACGTACAGGATCACCCCTAGGCTCCACATGTCGTAAACTTTGGGGTGGTAAGGAATCCCTTGGATCACCTCCGGAGCAGCGTAAGCGGCCGAGCCACAAAACGTCTCGCTGGGCACGATTTTCCCGTTGCCGTTTCGGAAACAGCGCTTGGAAAAGCCGAAATCCGACAGCTTGACGTTCATGTCCTTGTCGAGGAGAATGTTGTCGCACTTCAGGTCGCGATGGACCACGTCTAAGTCGTGGCAATATTTGACGGCGCAACACAGCTGGCGGAACATCCGGCAGGCCACTTCTTCGGGCAGGCCCCGGTTGCTCTTAATGAACTCCAACAAGTCCCCCTGGATGCCAAGCTCCATCACGATGTAGACTTTCCCCGCCGTCTCGAAGATCTCGTAGATTTTGATGATGGAGCAGTGGTTCACGGTGGACAAGATCTCCAGCTCCCGAGGGAGGAACTTCTCCAAGA